TCTGTTATATCGAGGTTGCACTTATGAAACTCTGCCATGAAGTGTCCTCGCGGGTGTTTAATAATATTTATTATTAAATAGGAGTAGAGTATAACAACATTCCTGGGGATCATTTGATAAATAAGCATATAGTTGCTCGCTCATTCGCTGTAACTGTCTGCAGTTCATGTTGCTGCCTCGTTGCTGCTGCTGCTGTCGGGCCTGCTGCAGCGCTCTGGAACCTTGGAGTACGGGTGAAGTGGCTAGAAGACCCGGCTGCAGTTCACGCCGATGCAAACGTGACACCTGGAAAGACTTCTGAGGATCCTGCGAAGCACAACACAGCGCAGAGTGTTGCACAGTCAGGGGAGGCAGCGGCAGCAACAGCTGCACCAGCCCCAGCAGCGACAGCAACAACAAACTAGATGCGTTCCAGAATAACTGTCGCAGTTGATATGTGCGTTGGGCCCTAGGCATGGAGTGGAGTTTCGGATGCTATATTTTATGGGTCGCAGAGCCATGAGTTTGTAAAGGGAGTTCCCGATGATGGGCACTTTGGCAGACCGTTTGTGAGGGGTGAAGGGAGGCATGCCTGCCTTCTTTTGTCTCTCGTAAAGCAGATGGAGAGGTTTACGCGGTGTGGGAAATCGCGACTTACGGCATTTAGCAACAAAGGATTTCGTTCTGACAGACACGGGAAGCAAAAGGGAGGGAAAGAGAGACCCCCGGAACGATTGACAGAGCCAGATAGGCATAAGAAAGGAAAAGACTAGGGGCAAGTGGAGACAGATAAGCAGGGAAACGGGGCAGATAAAGAAGGCGCCCGACGCAGAGGTAGAGCAAGCATTGCCGCAGAGACTGACGCCTATATAAAAACGGAACAATGAATGGGTAGAATAACCAAATGGCTCAGCCGTACAGTCTCTTTTTGTTTCCATTTCCACTCCCGATGCACGGGGAATAGTAGCGGCATGGCAAAAGCAGGAAGCCTTGGTGCAGCCAACAGCTGGGTCGTTTTGCATATCCTCCTGCCACCATAAGGACTATTCACATCTCAGGGCGCGAGAAGACAGTAATCCGCGAGATTGAAGGATAAACTGACATGAGAAAATCGACCCCGCCCGAAAACGCGGGAGCTGGGCTCCTCGACAACTTGGAAGAGGAACAATGAAGCGTGTGACCCTCAAGCCGGCGCGCGCCTCTTGTGTGTCGTGTCTCCCCCTTGCAGTTATTGGGAAGGCTCTGCCATTTCACTTATATGGGCAGGCAACAACTGCCCGCGCGCATCAGTGTTTTAAGTGCTCCCGCATGGCATTTGCCACAAGCACCAGCCTTTATATAAAGTGAATGACAGGAGAGCCCTGATTGATGCACAGAATGGGGGAAAAGACTTTGTTGGGTAGTGGATACGTCACTGTACTAGACNCGCTTGAGCACTGTGAACGGAGGCAGGGCCGCTGTTTGGACACAGCTGGACCGTGCACATTGCAGGCCCGGACGGGTGTGTCCGTAGTTTGTGGTGGCGCATAGGAATACAGAAGTGCTTCAAAATTCGTTGAACATCTCATCCGTCCCTTCTTCTAGAAGAGAGGACCTTCAGGAGTACGTGAAACTTGTGATTAAGAGGCCCAGTTTTCCTGTCGCTGCGTGGCGTGTTTAGTTGGCACGCGCCACCCAAAGTTCCTGTCTACTTATAGGGCGTTGCTGCGGCTCTAGGAAGCTGTGAAAATCCAGCCTAGGAGTGCCTGTAAGCTCTAGTTAAGGGAGGGAATCTTCGTGACGCTACAGCGTACAGAAGATAAGTCAAGTACAGGGCTGAATTGTGGAACTTTCGTTTGCAATACAGAACAAATCAGGGAGTACTACACTCTCTGTCCAAAATTGGTGAATTTAGCGTGGTATGGCTGAAGATGGTGCATGCAGCATGATTCACTTGCAGTTGGTGCATGTGTCTCTCCTCGCTCGTAAGCTGGCT